ACAAATCTGGTATATATGGTATATATAAATATACACACACTACTGGTGTGCGTGTGCGTGTGTACACACACACACACACACACACACTATACACACACACACACACACTACTGGTATATATGGTATATATTACTACTGGTGTGTATGTATGTATGTATGTATGTGTATACACACACACACACACACACACACACACACACACACACTCATTCTACTGGTATATATAACTACTATTGAAATGAAGACACAAGAAGAACATGTTACACAGAAACACTAGACCACAACTGTAGGACAGGAAGTAAAGGAGAGCTAAAATATTAAGAGCATGTTAAATGAGTTACAACTAAAATAATTTTGAAATCTTAACTCGACTGCAGTCCCCCAATCATTACTCTGCTATATATTTTAAATCCTTCCCCCCCTAAAAAATATGCCATCTGTGTCAGAAAGAATAACTTAGTTTTCTATATAAAGTTTTATTGTGCGTCACTGCCACATCTGACATCAGCAATGACAACTTTAGCACTGAATATAATAAAAACCTACATAATTATATGATGCTAGTAGGTACTACTGAACCCTTCTCACTTTCCCACCATATACAGAGGCAACAAATATTTGCTGAGGATGGATTCCATCAAAACAAGCCCCCCAGCAAACTGACAGGAATTTAAGAAAGCAGTGGATGTAATGATGTTTGAAAGTCCTGTGGACAAACAAAACTTAGCCAGTGGTGAAAGCCAACCCTAAAGCAGCACGCAAAGATCCTTTGAAAGATTATTCTCGATGAAAACACCATAGGACATGTACAAAAAAATAATCATTCCACATTATTTAAGTACTCCATATTCAGTGCTGTACAAAACATGAGGAAGACAGTTCTTAAGAGGTAACAGTCCTAGGTCCCGATCGTGGAAAGACTCAGGCAAGTGTTCAATTTGTGACTGGTCCCACTGAAATAATAGATGTTGGTCAAAGGGACTAGTTACAACACAAAAGCAAGCCCATGCATCTGTCTCTACATGATCTGGTTCCAGCTTAAACTTTTCAAAGAGTTTTCCTCTAACCAGAGAACAGGGACAGTGCACTACATTTGGTAATGTCAACCAGGAAATCAAAGAGAAACTTACCCTCAGATATGTGTGAGCCCAATTCTACAGCCCAATTCTGCACATCACACAAGAAGTGCTCTTTATTTTTGCTTATCAGATATATTTTAAATGGGCTCCGTAGTATCCAAGGTGAATCTGTCCCCTCATTAATTTAAATGAGTTTAAATACAGGTTGAACAGAGGTATGTCACTGGAGGATGCAGGGTAGGTACAGCAGTGGTTTGCCGAGGATAGTGTTAGTATCTTGGTTTTGTCAAGGGATGATATCAGCTTCTTATTAAGGATCTGTATTAGGGTAGCTTTCAAAAGCCCAAGACAGACAAAATGTTTTCTCACTTGGTGGCTAGAGAACCAGGACACAAAGAGACTAGTGATTTACCCGTAGGCACACAGAAAGCCAGTAGCAAAATCAAGAACTGAATGGAGACCTTCTAAACCCTAGCCCAGTGATTTATGTTATTCCAGGACACAACTTAACTTTCATATGAAAGACACCTAAGCTACCACAGTTTAGATTTCCCTTACCACAAAGTAAGATATGCACACAGGCAGCTTCCAAGGAGCAGCTGAAGTACAGTAAAGCCAATCCTCTCATATACTGTGGTAAGTTATTCTTTGTCCCTCCCTACCCACAGCCACAAGGCCATCTTTCCTCGAAATCAGCAGTACTCATTTAGACAGCAGTCCCCAAGCCAAAAGTGGCTCTTCACAGAAAATGATAAAGACAGAACTCTGTTTTTGTCATTTAATGCATGCCTTTGATAAAACAGCGTGTTAGGAATACTTGGCCTTTTATTGCACTTGTCTAACCCAGGTACCGTAAGGCTGCTTGGGGGTTTCTCAGCGTTTGTCACAATTCAAGTAGGGGCACAGAGATTGTGGGGCTCTTTGGTTAACTCTGACTGCTCATGGGCTTCTGACCTCACCAGTGCAGAGTAGCATTCCTTTCAAATCTAATCAGAATACTGACCTTCTCCCTTACCCTTTTTTTCTTCTCTTCCTCTCCCCAGGCTGGAATTCCCATTCCCAATTCCCCTGCCCCTTGTCTTTTTCCCACACAGAGAGATCACAGAGAAGAGAGCGTTCCCTTCATCCCTATTCCCCGAGCCTAGTACTGAGAGAGATCAGCCTGGTCATCCTGGTCCAGCACCAACTTACATGTACACTATATCACATCCAATAATTAGCTAGGAGCAGAAGGAAGACCTCATAGCTCCAGCTGAGCAGCTATTCAACAGGAGAGGGAAAGGGTCTTTGCTGTGTATGCGCTGGGCTGTCAAGGTTCCAGGTAGGAAGGGTTATCAAGTCCCCTTCAGGAGCGTTACTTAGCTTCTGCCTAGGCTGTGCCTCCAATCAATATTTATACTTGCTACAGTGGGACAGGCTGAGGCACAGAGAGGTTAAGTGGCTGACTCATGGCCACACAATGAGTTAGTGGCAGAGCTAGAAACAGAAAGCACAGGTCTTGTCAACTATTCCCCCGCTCCATCCTCTAACATCACTGCCCATTATTGGGCCTATTCAGATCAGGGCATGTACAATCACAGCTGCTAGGCGTCCATTCTGAGTGAATTCAGTTCCCAGCCACAGGCTTATATCTTTGTATCAATGCCCATCTCTGCATCTTGTTCTGAGCCCGTTGGGACACTGTTCTCTTCTCCAAGAGTTTTTGGCTCCTCCTTTCTTGTGGATCCAGATGGCCTCTTGGGGCACACTGGGATGTGCCGAACCCAAGAGGCTGTGCAGAACTTCATGCCAATCCCAAATGGAAGGCTGTAGACTTCCGAAAGAAGCTGGGACTCAGCAGACTCCACCCCATGGGACTCCTTCCAGGCTAGGATTCCTCGCTCTTCTTTGCTTCCTACCAAAAGGACATGAGAGGACAGTAATTAAAAGACCATCAATGCAAGTTTAGGGTGTGTACACACAACACAGTTACTGCACACACAGTACTGCAACACAGTTACTACTAATTTCGCGGAGATTGTCCTCTGTACTCAGGAAAGGACACATGCTCAGTTCTCCCAAACTAGCCACTAGCACAATGATGCTCAACCTTTTTAACCTCAAGATGCCTTCCATAACTTTGCTGAACTCTGCACTACTCCAGTTGAGAATCACCAAGCTACGATCTAAATGCAGAAAAGACATGGAGGGGTGCTTTGAGGTCAAAAAGGTTAAGAACCACCAATTTGGCTGGTCCAAGTAAGAGCAGTGGGAGCAGGACCTAACCCTGCTGTGCCCTCCTCTTTTCACTGTCTTCCCCCTCAGTACCCTTGGTCTTTGTCTAAGAAGGGAAGGGCAGCCCTCACCATCAAGGCTCCTCCTGCAATGCCTCACACTGGCGATCACCCCCATGGCTCCGCTTGCCAATCCCAGGAGTGTGGGAGGATCAAAGGGGACATGTCAGGCTACAAAAATGTGGCCCCATGTCTGCCCATCTGTCCACCTACCCACAGCAAAGCACACTGCTGGAGCATGGGGGCAGCTGACATAGGCTGCCATGGGGGATGGGAGAGGGGCAGGGGAGGGCAGCAGCAGTCCCCAGAAGAACAGCCACAAGCACCACTGAGTAACTGGGGTAGACACAGGGCACCAGACAGGGAAAGGAGAGCATTTACCACCTCACACAAGGGACAGGCAGCTCAGCACCCCTAATGGGATATCACAGCACCCCCATTGAGAATCACTGTACTGGCAGGAGGTACTACTGCAGCATATGGCCACTAGGGCTAGGAACAGAAATTACACACAAACTGGTATCAGTGATCTGAAGCCAGTTCAAATCTGTAACACAACAAAAATTCAGTGCACATCAACTTCTTCCAAAATGGCTGAAACCAGTTTAAGATGAACCTGGAGGGACGTAGTAATAGATTAGACAATTAATGTTAAATTAGATTAAATTAAACTGACCAGATTTAGGTTAAATCAATTTATTGAACTTCTGTCCCAGATCCCTTCCAGATTCAAGTTAACTCATAGTCTCCCAGCATCCCAGGATGCTTTGCATCTCCCCTGTAAACTCCCATTCACAGGTTAGGCAGGTTAGTCTTGGCCCAAGCTGTCTGCTCCAAATGAGCAGGGTGGTGGCTATAACTTCCCACACCACTCCCACCCTATAACACACCATCACCCTGATCTTCTGGCTTGGGCCACTGTAAGCATGTAGCTGCATTTCCAGAATCAAAAGTGAATGTGTTCACATGCTTATTGGTACAATTTACACAGCTTAGACTAAACTGCGAAGATTGAATCGATTCAGCTTCGGGCTTTTTGATTGCCTGTACTTAGCCTAGGGGTCAAGGGAGCCGATTTGCATTAAGCAAACAGCTACCCAAGGATGAATCTGACTATGGAAGCAGACATGCAAACTGTGTAATTTACCCTCATCTATAACTACTCCGCTCTTTCTAAGGAATACCCTCACTCTAGAGTTGAGTAACTTTGGTGGAAGACTGTATATCATGTGTCTGCTTGACTTTTACCTCTGGGTAAAGTCAAATTAGTAAATTTGTCATGTGTCTGCACCTGTGGGCATATAAAGTTACTCAGCATACTTCATATATAGTGCTGGTACTAGACTACCCTCAGTACAGCCACCCTTTCAGTGGAGTAATATAATGTGATCTATTGATCCTCATCTCCTCTTTATCCTTTTTTAGTAGAAAGCCCTCAACAAAAAGAAACTATTGAATATATTCTGCTTGATGCAACAGTGTTACAAGCATGAATCTCTCCTGATTACAGCTCCATCAAATTTTGGGACCCACAGACCACTGCCAGTCTTGCACCCTTGACATCATTTTTTTTCAATTAAAAACACTTTAAAAGCACACTGACACCAGTATAATCGTGGGCAATTTACCATGTTTTAATGGGCCACCAATGGTCCACAGACAACAGTTTGGGAAATAATGCACTAGTGGCACATTGGGGAGAATCCCATTTCACACGACACACCTAAATGGTTGTTACTCATATATATAAGTGCTATTTTGGGCATTTACATACCATTCTGGACTCTGTTTCACCCCCTACTGAAATAAAATGGTCCTGCAAGCCACTCAGAAATAAGGCTGAGTACCCCCCACCCCCATATTTTAACTCAGCATCCTACCATTAGAGCCCTCACCCAAGATGTAGGAGATGGGTCCCAGTTTCCCCAAACCTGATAAAAACCAGAAGCCTTGGTTCCTGCTAGCAGTACCAGCAGCAGATATTAAATCCCCTCATCCAGAACAGGTTTCAGTCTGCTTCCCAGAACAATGCTCCATTTACCAGTCACAGGTTAGTCACTAAGCAGACTCTTCTTCAGCCCTGTTCTTGAAGATGGGTAACTGATATTTAGGCATATAAAGTGAAATAGGATTCTGCCCACTGAGTACAGTTAAAACACTATTTGAAAATACAGGCCTGCCTTTCTGCTATGAGAAGTAACCCAAGTGCAACTTTGCTCCTTCTTCATACTCCCAGTTCCCCCAAGCGTGATAAAAGAGAAGCCTTGTTCCCACTAGTAGTACCAGCAGCAGATACTACATAGTAGTTCTCCAGAGATCATCCACGAAAGGCTTTGTTTACAGTAGGCTTTATTTTTTCCTATTTCCCACATTGCTACCACCAGCTTTGCTTCAACAGTAAAAATCCTAGTGTATACAAAAGACTTAAAAATTAGAGCTTTCGTATCCTATGAAATTTTGCAAGAGGTTATTTTTTCCCCTTTCCTACATCAGGACAAAACCAACACTTTTCAAGATTTTTCAGTGAAAATCTACCACGGGAGAGAATGAAAGAGACTCATCTCAAAATTGCAAAGAGCCCTGCTCTGTCCGATTTGGAGTGAGAATTGAGTGAAGGTCTCCCACATGCCAGGTGAATGCCCAAGGACCATTGTTCCTTCCCTTCTTTCTCTCGCTCTTGTTTTGACAAAAAATTGCATGGTAGACATGAGGAGCCCTTCCCAGTTCAAGTTTTATTGAGGTTGATATTGCTGTACAAAGCATTTCTGTTTTAAGGAATTAGCAGTTCCCAACAAGAAACCAATTTGTTAGAACATTCCCCACTATCTCTAATTTTAATTGTCACCTGCAATGAGTTGAATGACACAGCACTTAAACTGCTAGCAATGACAGGGCTACACCTACACTAGCTCTCCTGTTGCTGCTTCCACTAGAGGAGCTGAATTGTTACTGGTTGGAAAGGGAGATTAGTAAATAAATTCTGGAGAGGAACAGCCTAGTTGATTCAACTGTTTAAGCCAATCATACCTGGAATAGTATTATCAAGGACAAACCCCAGAAATCCACCCACAAACATGCCAGTCGTGAGAAGCACCTGGATTACTTGGTCTAGCTGTATGATTCCTAAAAGAAAAAATAAAGCTTCAGTCAGTGATGCCGAGACACACATTTGACCAGGGAAGAAGCAATGAGCATCTGCCACAAGTCACATCACCTTGCCAAAGAGAGACCTGCAGCTCAGAAGCAGTAAGAAAGAACCATACTCCATGATGGATCACTACCTGACAACATAAATTGAATTATCCTGCTGCCTAATGTGGGTCATCTTTATTCCACATTTTTATTAATTTATGTAGTAACCAAAGCAAGAAAGGGGACTAACAGATGCATAGAAAGAATCTTTGGGGCAGAGACATTAACTTCAGCAAACATGATGAACAGCCTAAGAGTTCAAAGACATGGGACTTCCATGCAGCTACCCTGATTTAATTAGCAGGAGAATCATAGGTCCTTTATTCTTCAAACCTAATATTTTATTGAACACCAACATTAAGGACACCACACACTCCAGTCATGGTTCAACTCTGGTAACATGGAACTCGTTTTTTTGCCAGTAGCACCTTATACTGGAATATACAAAAATAAGCTGCATCCATAGAACTGTAAATCATGTTTTCAACCATTTGTTTATTTAATAACAAAAAAAAATTCCTCGTCTTACGGGTGCTTTATAATGCTAACACATCCAGAAGGAAGAAGTACCAGTCAAAAGAAAACTTTTGGGGATTTTATTTATAATGTCCACAGGCTACATTTCACACAATATCTCTATTAATCTATGCTTCCATTTCCTACCAAACAAACGGCTTATAACGAATTCCATGCTATTATCTCTCACCTGTTTCTAGCACTTGAGAACGTGTCTTTACCCAGTTAGGAATGGTCAGACCTGCAAATATAGCGAACCCAAAGATAAACAGGTTCCTTGAGGAGTTCATGTCTGCATACTGTAGAGAGAAATTGCATATGTTAACGCATGCGGCTCAAAACGATTAAAAGCTATGGGCTGGCTGGTCCCGAGGAGAAATGCTTGTATGTGCAAGCACATGGCTACAGAAACACATGCACCCATGCAACCTGTGACAGGTACTGGGACTCAGTATTACAAGCTTAGGTGTGTCCAACTTCTAAACAGCTGCATTTGCATGCATGGGCATCCTTGGCGCCTTGTGATATAGACCCTTGCCAGGAACCAGACTGATAGGGAATCTGAACGCAGGCCACATTTTCTTTCAGGACATTTATTAATGGTAAGAAGTGCATTACCTGTAAATTGGAAATTCCCACAGCAGTGATGATCCCAAACATCACAATCAGCATTCCTCCAATCACGGGTGTTGGTATGCTGGCAAACATGGCTCCAATCTTTCCAAATATTCCTGTCAAAAGCATCACGCAGCCACCCGCAACAATCACCATTCTACTTCCTACCTGTTTCAAGAGCACAGAACAAGATCACTGTACTAAGCATTGTACAAAGAGCTAGCAGATGGCAGGTTTTAGACATGTGGAGTCAAGCCCTGCACAGATTTACATGTGAAGTAAATTGCTCAAATACCTGTGATTCCTTTTTAATGGCTTGGTAAACTCTCTGCTTCTGATCGGAACATTGTAAGTGAAGAGCAAGGGTACAAGTTAGAGTTACTAAGAACTAAAGTAGGGTTTGAATTTACAGTAACTTCCATGTGCAGACCTTTAACCTGCAGTAACCACAAGGCAGATAATCCCCTCAATGAACGCCTGGACTGCCAGAGAAAGTTGCATAACAGTTGCACAACCTGAACTGAAAACAATGGTGGATTCATGCTCATATTTCATCCTACATCATCCTTTATCCAATCAGTACCCTGCCATTGCCAGGCACTTACTGTGTATTTGTTAACGTTAGAGCTCCACTGGGCACAGAAAGTTAACCATTAAACTAAAGTGTTAACAAACTGTCTAAATGGCTTTGCCAGTCCAAAAACTCCAGGTGTAATAGAACCAGGGCATAAACAATCTAGCCCAGAGGTTAAGGCCATCATCAAAAAGAGCAAGCTCAAGCTGGAAGTCTAAAGTAAAGAGCTGGCCAAAGGGTTGGAAGCAAAAGCAGAGGACAGGGACAAGACAAGAGCTTGAGGTAAGGCAAACTCAGAAGAGAGTTAAGGAGCCTGTGGTCAGTTGCCACAGCTGTGCTTAAACAAGGGACTTGCTAGGCAATCAGGATACCTATAGGCATATCCAGCTTAGCGTACTGCCAAGGGCTGATTAGCCTGTGGTGGGGGGTGCTTGCTAGGGTTCCAAACACCTGGAAAGAGTTGCACCTGGTGCTCGAAGTATCATCTTAACAGGCCTGAGTCCAATCTCACCAGAGTCTGTGTTAAGTACCGATTTCAAACCAGGTGTTCAATTCCCTTCCCTCTGAAGCTAAATGATCACATCTGCAATGAGGTAGTAGAGGTTGTGTGAAAATGGCTCTGAGCGAACTCCAGACCTACTACCAGAAATTGGTAGTGGAGGATGTGGCCAAAGTTACCTGGCACAGAGACATGTGGCACAGGACCTTCCAACTTCCCCCAAGCGGAGGAGGGGGCGGTAACTGCAAGGAAGAGGAAGAGACAAGTGGAACTGAGGACAGTGACAGCAGCAGCGGGTCCTCCAGCGGGAGCAGGAGCAACATAGAAAACAGGTGAACTGAGTATGTGACCCCGCAAGCAGGGTGGGTAGGAAAGGAAAGGGTTGCCTGGTCTGAGAGACCAGAATTTGCTTGTGTGTGTAGCAGGTGATGCAGATATTGTAATGGGTTCTGATGGCCTGGTACAGGTGCAGGGTTTGTAATGGGTTAAGGTTTTCTTTGTGGAGTGATACTCAGAGTATATATATATATAACCTTATATATATTTACAAAAAAACCCCATCTGCACTGACTTGGGGGGAATTTTGATTTGCCCATATGCACCATGGCCCACCTACACCACTGCCCTTAATACATTAATCAAAGAAGACAGCTTTCTATCAGAGGGCTTCCATAATGAGGCAGTACCACAAGGAGTATTCTGAAGCACTGCAACCTCCTCTCATTCACATATGCCAGTTATCTGAACAGGAATGAGAAACAAAAGCAGCAGAAGACGACTGAAAAAATTCAAAAGGTGTTTACAGTTTGGGGCACAAAAAAAGAAAAGAAAGCCCCCATAAACAAAATGGAGTGAAAGTATGTTGTAACATGGAAACGTGACATTTTAGGGAACCTTACCGAGATCTGCAAAGTGTATGTCTTATACAGAGGAATTCTATAATCCCCTGTTGATATTTTATAATTCAATTAATTATGTTAATCCTCCCCTGGAAATATCTGAAGAATTTCATGTTTCAGGCAAGGGCTTTTTGCCAATATTTTCAACAAAGCCAGTTTCATGAACCATTATGATCCCTTTTATTAGCATCTTTGGAAAAAACTAATTAATTGGATCTGGGGAAATGTTTCAAAAGAAAATGATCCATATGTTTCTGTTTGTCTCACAGGGTGATCTCTCCACTTGGCCTTAAAGCCTCAATGCTCTTTCCACCAAAGATATATCTTAAGGACAAAATATTAATCTGTTCTACCATTATGATGAAAGCTACAATTTACAATCTATTGAAGTGATAAATTATTCCGTACATGAAGCCAGCACCAGAGATAAGCTATCTTATTCACTGGTAGCACAATTGTGAGTGCTTGATTCCAAAGCCTCTACTGTAATTTAGTAAATGATGCAATAACGATATGGGAGGATTGGGGGGATGGGGGGGAAGGAAAAAGGAAACCCAGTTTGTCAACAGCAAGTCAGACTTAAAAACCTGATTTCCTTGCATGATAAAGTAACAAATGGGAGTAGAGCAGTGAATGGAATACACCTGAACTTTAGCAAAGCTTTTGATACTGTATACCATGACATTCTCACTTGGGAAATACAGAATAATGAAAGACAAACCAGCTTAATACACTGTAAGATGGGTGCATAATGGGCTACATCATAGAATTATAAAAAAAAGTAGGGCTATCAGGGGCTTCAGGAGATCATCAAGCCCGTCCTAAGGACAGGATCATCTTTGACTAAACCATCTCTGTCAAATGTTAGTCTACCTGCTCTTGAAAATCTCCAAGTGTCTGGCTACCTCTAGAGGTTCCACAATTTCTCTGGATAGCCTGTTCCAGTGCTTGATCGCTGTGAGAAAGTTCTTCCTAATCTTCAACATCATTGCCCCTAGTCCTGTTTGTTGGCAAATGTATGACATAGTCCCAACAGTTTTGGGCCTTTTAATTCTGTAGCTGATAGAAAAAGATGTTGAGTAGATAACCTATGTAACCTAAGGTAGCAGGGGGGCTACAACAGATTAGATTTCAAAGGGGGCAGTAGGCACTCTGTAAACAGTGCCACCCATACCATAAACATGATAAAACCTGTGAAAACCAGGGACTCTACAAAACCGCCAGACAAACATACTGAGAACAACAAAAGATGTGCAGTCGTCAAGGCAACCAAGGGGGGCAGATCTCCCATAAAAGAGCAAACAAAATTGATAACTGAGGAACCCCGCCCCACCTGCCAAGAAGAACTGAGGACCCCAAAGACTCCTGAATGCCTGGCCAGCTGCAGCAAAATGCTCCATCTTCGGGACTATGTAAGATTTATGCAAAGTTTCTGTTGCGCATTAACCTAGGCAAAGTTTTCTGTTGTTTCTTTGTCTTATACTTAAAATGGTAAATTGCTGTACTCAATAAACACACTCTTCAGAGAACGTACTATTCTTGTCCAAGTCATTCATGACTTCAGTGCTACCACCTGAATTCTAATACTAAGTTTAGGTAGCACTGGAGGCATCTACACATGCAATTAATGCGAAGCAGTAATTCCAGTGCATATTGTGCCAGAGTTTACTGCTCCCAGGCATCATGTCTTCACATGCACCAGGGACCGCAACACATTGAGCTGGGTCAAAGCAGCCCCAGCTCGCAGGGGGCCCCGGGGATTAGTCTGCCAGCCAAGAGCTGCTTCCACCCAGCTCAATTTGCTGTGGAGGGTCTGGCTGAGGCACAAGGGTGCTCCAAGCATGGGGCTAGTTGGCAGGCAGCCCTGCACTGAAGCACCCTCATGCCCCAGCCAGCCCCATCGGTGTCTACATATGCATTGCTGCACACTAAAGAACACCGCCACGGGATAGAACTTGTATTTACAAGTACTAACCTGTTGTGGAGTTAGTTTCCTGAAGCCTAATAGGGCTGTGCATGGAGACATTGAGACTTTACTGAGGAGCTAATTAGGCAGCTCAACAACAAGCATCTCATGAAGATGTGCACACTGTCCCCTACAGCCACAGAGAATAACCTGTCTCCCATTCTCTGCATAATGACAATTCAGGTATTTGAAGCTACCCCATGGCTGTATGAGTGCTTGTGGGGCTCTGGCCAGGTACCAGAGGATTGGAAAAGGGCCAATGTGGTCCCCATTTACAAGAAGGGGAGAAAGGAGGACCCTGGCAATTATAGGCCAGTCAGTCTTACCTCGGTCCTTGGGAAGACCTTTGAGAAAATTATCAAGGAGCACGTATGCAAGGGCCCAGCAGGGAAGGTAATGCTCAGGGGCAACCAACATGGGTTCATTGAGGGCAGATCCTGCCCAACTAACTTGGTTTCCTTTTATGATCAGGTCACAAAGTCCCTGGACGAGGGTGTCGAGGTGGATGTCGTGTTCCTGGACTTTAAGAAGGCCTTTGACACTGTTTCCCATCACATTCTCCTAAAAAAACTAAGTGACTGCGGCACTGATGACTACACAGTCAGATGGGTGGCAAGTTGGCTAGATGGTCACACCCAGAGTGGGTTGTTTTTGACCTGGGGGGATGCGGGCAGTGGAGTCCCCCAGGGCTCTGTCCTGATATTTGTACTGTTCAACATCTTTATCAGCGATCTGAATGTGGGTGTGGAAAGCACGCTGTCCAGATTCACTGACGACACCAAGTTGTGGGGTGACTTGAGCACACTGGAGAGGAGAGACAGAATCCAGCTAGATCTAGACAGGTTACAGAGGTGGGCAGATGAGAATAGGATGGAATTCAATGCAGACAAGTGCAAGGTGCTGCATCTAGGGAGAAGGAACCTGCAACACACCTATAGGCTGGGGAACACCCCTGCTCAACAACACAGTGGTTGAGAGGGATCTTAGAGTCGTTGTTGACTCCTGGATGGACATGAGCTGCCAATGCAAGGAAGCGGTCAGTAAGTAAGGCTAACCGCACCTTGTCGTACATCTACAGATGCATCACAAACAGGTTCAGGGAAGGTGATCCTCCCCCTCTATGCGGCATTGGTCAGGCTGCAGTTGGAGTACTGTGTCCAGTTCTGGGTGCTGCACTTCAAGAGGGATGTGGCTAGCACTGAAAGGGTCCAGAGGAAGACTGCTCGCATGGTCAGGGGGCAGCAGACCAGGCCCTATGAAGGTAGACTAAAGGGCCTGAATCTATTCAGCCTACACAAGAGAAGACTGAGAGGGGATCTGGTGGCCATCTACAACTCACCGGCGGGGACCAGAGAAAAATAGGTGCTCTGTTCCCCCGAGCACCACTGGGGGTTACTAGGAATAAAGGCCACAAATTGTTAGTGAGAAGGTTCAGGCTGGACATCAGGAGACATTACTTTACAGTTAGGGCTACCAGGCTCTGGAATGGGATCCCAAGGGAGGTAGTACTCTCTCCTACCTTGGGGGGTCTTCAAGAAGAGGCTGGACAGATATTTGGCTGTGGTGTTATGACCCCGGCACTCGTTCCTGCCCGAGGCAGGGGGTCGGACCTGATGATCCGTTTAGGTCCCTTCTGACCCTAAGCACTATGAAACTAAGATTATTATCAAATCCCTTTCTCAGTCTCCTTTTCTCCAGACTAAATAATCCAAGGTCTTTCAGCCTTTCCTCATAAATCATGTTTCCCACACTTCTAATCATTTTTGTCATTCTCCACTTCAAGAAAAATGTGGGCAAACTAAAAAGAGTGAAGTGCAGGGCCCAAAACTGGACACAGTAATTCCAGGCGAGACCTTATCAGTGCCCAAAAGAGTGGAAGGATCACTTCTGTTGATTTGCAGTTGAAACTCTTGTTAATAAGTGCTGTGTTATTGCCCAATATGTTATTGGCTTTTTATCATCAAGAGATTACTGTTGGCTAGGGTTTGAATTACAGGGGAGCTCAGGGGAGCTGAGCCCCCACCCCCATAAGAGACAAGAGCCCTCCTGGAAGACTTGAAAATCATAAACTGGGGGGGGTGTCTCTGATTTTATTAGGGCATTGTGATAAGCAGCCCAATTTTTTTTTGCAGACCCCCCAAGAGTCAAAGTGTAATTCAAACTCTGCTGGTAGCTCATATTTGGCTTATAGTTCACTGTACTCCTTGGGTCCTTTTCTGCAGTACTGCATCCTACCCAATCATAACTCAATCTGTATTTGTGCATCCAATTGTTCTATCCTAGGTGCAGGACTTTGCATCTATCCTTGTTAAATTTAATTTGATTGATTTTGAATCATTTCTCTACTTTATCCTGGTCGTTCTAGATCCCAGCCCTACTCTCCAGAGCGTCTGCAACTACACCCATCTTGGTGTCATCTGCAAATCTGCTAAATGCACACTCAAATCCATGATCCAAATCACTAATGATGATATTAAACAATACCAGACCTAGGACAGAGCCCTGGGGAACCTCATTAATTCTAACTAACAGCTAGACACCAAGCTGTTGATGACTAGTCAACGAATTGAACAAATGAACACAATAATCCAATCAGTTAAGTATCCACCTTACAGTAATTTCATCTAGTCCAGGGATGTCCAACATCTAAGCAGCTGGTGGCTGCAAGCCCTATGGGCCACACCAGCATGGGCCACAGGTCCCCCTGGGCCACACACCACAGTTATCCCTGCTTCTGCACCACACTATCATCACCCCCCACTGCACTGCACCACTTGGATGCCCCGGCCCCCAATCCCAGTTTCATAGCTCTGGGATCCCTGCTGCACTGTGCCATGCAGGCACCCACAGCTGCAGGCTCCCCAGCCCTGTGGGCTATGCTGTGCTGGTTCCACCTTGCCCCCTAGGGCAGCAGCAGGAAATGGACACTGGAAGGGGGAAGGGGAGCCCAGCTACTGCTGCAGCTGGAGCAGTAGGAGAAGAGATGGACAGTCGGAAGCCTGGGGGTGGAATGGGGAAGGGAAAAGGGGTTGCAAATTAACTCCTTGCAAGCTGCATGCACCCTATGTCCTGCAAGTTAGATAGTCCTGATCTAGTCTGTATTTTCTCATCTTATTAATGAGAATGTCATGGAGATGGCATCAAAAGCCTTATTAAATCAAGGTGTATCACATCCATTGCTGTCCCTCAACCCACAGAGCCTGTCACCTTGTTGCAGCAGAAAGTTGTTAGACAGAACTTGCCCTTCTTGAATCTACACTGGATATTCCTGATCATTGATGACCAATGACTATGCAAGCTTCTCACATACACAACCAATATACCTCTCCCACACTTCATAACGAAGCAACTGCCTTCAGAGAAGAACCGGTAGTTTGGTTTGAATGACCCTGTCGATTCCTGGACCTGCTGAAACTTGTGCCAGGTCCCAACTCCTAGCAAATGTATTTTTTTTTGTGAAGTGGCCATGTATCCATGAGGAAGTGGGTAAAGGCCACTACATATAGACCAGCAGAAGATGTTTTTTTAAACGGGCATAGCATGTTTATAAGCGCAAGTCTAACAAAACCAAGACAGATACAAAGAGAGAATTTTTCAACACTGCTGACAACCCAGTGTCCTATAACTACCAGCTGAAGGTACAGATATAAACCTTACCCGAGTGATTCCCAGAGCTCCAACGTTTTCACTGTAAGAAGTGGTGCCATTCCCTGTACCCCAGGCCCCAGCCAGAAGACTACCAATTCCTTCCACTCCAATCCCACGATTGATAGCATGCTTTGGAGGGGGTGGGGCTCCAGAGAGTCGGGCACAGGCATAGTAATCCCCCACTGACTCCAGCATGGAGGAAATCACTCCAGCTATGAACCCAAATACTCCAGCCAAGCTGATTGTTGGAACACCCCATTGGCCTGCAAATAAAAAGCAAAATTTAGATAGCTAGGGCTAGGCTTCCTGTGAAATCCATTGAAGTAAATCACCAATCACATTTGCCATTATTTGCTTTTTACTTGGTCTTTTTCCTGAGTGCTTTTTACTTAGTCCAGTCTGAGCATGCCAATTTGGGTTGCTCAGTGGTCTTTCATGCCCCCGCACCATCATTCATGATCATTAATAGCAGAATCGCCACATGCACACACACAAACTGACATTGGGAAAAACAAGGAGAAGGAGCACTAAATAATCTGGATCATGAAACTTCTAACCATACCTGGATAAGGGAACCGGAACCAGGGGGCTTGGGACAAAACGTCCCCTTTGATGTCAGTCCGAGCCAAATAACCATAAGCTTCAGGGTTCGAGGGAAAGACATTGGTCACAGTGAACACAAAGCACATCAGCCACGTGAGGGAGAGACCAAGAAGTACCTATATCCAGTCACATAAGAAAAGGATGCTAATTAGCTATGGTCTTTTCCAGTAGATCAACACTCTGCCTTGTGCAGTACAGATGAATGAGCCTCCATTGCATTCTGAAAGTGCAGGTTTTTTTCAGTTTACTTTGTTATATAACATGAAGGTGATAGATCACTGCCTCAGCTCCATTAAATTAGAAACCTTATGGCAGAACATTTAAGGCATCTTGCTATGGCTTCAGAGGCACAATTTAAGAGCTACATTCTAGATTTGGTCTGAAAGCAACCTCCAGTCAGCATAGGTGCAAATGGGTCCCTGATCATTCAGGCTAGGAATCAAAGATAGCTGGACATGATGCTAGCCTCATTATTCTCTTGTGTTCTGTTTGCTACTGAAATCAGCCTTATCTTACCCATGCTGGCCTGACAGGCCATGTAGGTTCAAGTGGACACATGACCTTGTTAGAAGCCTCGTTGGACAAATTAGTGCTCCTGTTATCCAGACAGTTTTTCTGGACGTGTCTGTGTGTGAATTCACTGGAGAATACCGACAAGGGCTTATTAGCCCTTCTTACTATCAGCATCTTGGAAAAAAAACTCCCAGAATCTTTACTTGCACTGGAGTTCATTGTGATATTACACAGGCTTGGTATAAAATGTGTATGAGCATTCAGACTCCATTGCAGAATGGAAACCAGCTATCCAGAGTCCAGAAGCAGGAGGCACCTGTTTTCATTGTGCTGGATTTTAAAGATAGCCTACCTCCATGTACTAGCATGGGCAGGCTAGAAATACCTGCCCTTTGGGGCATTTCTAACACAGCAGTGAATTTCTAACAGCAAAACAGAGGGAAAAATACAGTACAAGCCATATTGTGAAGGTCTCTCACACTGGGGAGTAGTCACTCACACAAGTAAACCTACTGACTCCTATGTAAATTCATGGAAATAGGATTTTTTGCACGAGTAAACTGAAGCTGTTTTAGTTTGTTCCTACTAGAGTGGATTGTCTGGTCATACAAGCCCAGAAGCTATAACTCACTGGGAAGATCTGGAAGAGGTAGATCCTAGAGAAGTAGCATTTCTTGGCTCGCTGGTAGGCCGGCAGTGGCATAGGCACATTTTTCAGATACTGAGAGAACAGAACAATGAAGGCAATGGTCCTAGAATGAGACAAAAATAGGCAATGAGACAAAGGAACCTATTTTACCCTTCACTAGGGATCTACCTAAATCGTGGTTTTGCACGTTTTGTGGAAACCACAAAAAAAACAGCATTGTCCATGATAGCCATGAAAACTGGCATTGACAGCAATTTCCTGCTAAATCAAACAAAAAAAACAGTAGTGACATAAACTGAGTGAAGGTGCTCTCCACCAATCAGGGGTGACGGGGGTGACAAAAAAAGCAGTAGTGACAGACTGAGTTACGGCACCTTCCACCAATCAGTGGCAATGGGTGGGGCTCTCACGAAACGTCTGTGAAATTGGCTGTGCGCGCCAGAAGCAGGCCGTGAAAAACCTTTTGCCATGCTACAACTTAGGCAGGTCCCTAGTCATCACATATACACCAGGAAACTGACTTCCAGAGATTCTGAGTTCCTTCAGCTCCTATTGATTTCAAAGCACCTCTGGAAAGTAAGCTGTTGGCTTCCCAGAAAGTCACAGCTATCTGCCAAGGTTAAGATGTAAATAAGCTTTCCGGTTTATTTATTTATTTTACATATAGTTTGGGGAGGTTTTTCCCCCGATTGTTTGCTTCAAAGGGCAAGATAATGATATATAATGAACAACTGAATCTGATGCAGGTGTCAGAAGGTTGCAAGTGGCATTAAATAGGAAACAAAGGAAAATGAGAAAGTGGTTGTGCCCAGACAAGCTGTATAGAAAACTGTTCTCTTAAAACTGTTTTCTTAAAAGAAAACTCAGCATTTTGATTCCCATTGCAAGAAATAGACCCCAATCTTGACTCGACTTCCAGAGGGTCTAATAATACCTATGCAAGTTTTTATTTTAAAGGTACGGAGGGATGAGAGTCAGTGGCCTGTATGGTCTATCCTGTTCCTGTTTTCCATTGGAGAGAATGATTCAAGTTTGATTTCCCAACTTTAGGGTTAGATCTAGTCAGTATTAAATGTGTCCTATTATAGCTTTTTCTTGCCATGCCACCTACACTGCTAGGCCTATCAAGAGAGTTAACAGAGCATACAACTTTGGTAGCACTGCTTTCTCAGTTCAATAAGAATGACAGAATTAAGATATTAATCAAATGGGCGCTGAATAATTGGATCATTATAAAATGACTTCCTGCTACTGAGTGTTAGGTTAAACCTTTTGAGATCCATATAGGGCTTTTTTTGTCCCCAAACATAATTTTTAAAAAGATTAAGGGATTATTTCAAATAGGATCAAGTGATGAGTTGATTAAATTTAATTTAATTCTAAGCACTACAAAGTATATTGATGTAATGAAATACTAGACTTTTCTGAGAGTTAAAAGGTGACACAATTTGTAGATAAAACATTTAAAGTAAGCAAGGAAGCCCATAAGGCAACTCTCTCTTTTTAAGGGCAAGGTGGAACAGAGAGTCGAGGTCACAGATCAAAGCACTGAATAGCTGGTCGGACATTAAAAGCTCTAAGAGACACAAATTTCCTTTTCCCTATTTCTAAAACAACAGAGCCCAACACAGCCACCCTTTGATTTATTTCTTTTGTACAGCAGATTTATAAGTCATTTGAAGCCCAGTATTATAAGCTGGGTTGGTAGCAATTCCAGTTATTCGATTACCTGATACTTTCCAAAATAAAATTCTATTTTCAGTTGCTTATAAATTGGAAAAACTTCAACCTTTCAATCTGAAGTTTCCACAAGTAAAATGTCTGCCTCAGGCTGAACACATCAGGAAGAATTCAGCAAAAACAGTTCAGCTGTTTCTAAGAATGTTTAGGGAAAGTCCATTGTATTGCTTTGAACAAGGTTAGTTCACATAGACTTTGATAAGGGGTGAACTTTAAGTCAACAATTTCTCTTTTGTTACACCCATGAAAACCTGCCCAAATTTGGCTAAGCAATAAGACTTGAGAAAATCACAGCTCTCATGTTCCCTGGGAACTTCTTTGATGTTAGCTGCTACAGTCTCTGAAGATCATGAACATGGCTCAAGGCTCCAGAGCTTCTGATGAGGTTATACACGCACCATCTCTACAGAGTAACTGAGCACATCCCAGCTCAGTGATAAAGGGACGAGGCTGGACCTTCCTGCTAATGATTCCTCCCAGGTGTCCTATGCTGTGGGATAGCTAGATAGCAGAACCAGAAACTCTCTTGGTTCTGCTATCTATTTGTCCTGAACTCTCAATGACACCCTTTACTGGGAACGATGAAGCAAGAAACTTTCTAACAAAAAGGTAAAAGCCAAAGCAGGGTGGAGGAAAATGTGCAGACTGAGGAAAGGAATCTGATGATGAGACTGAAAGGGGAAAGGGGAGAAACTGAGTTTAGGATTTGCTAGGACAAGGGACTGGATCTGAGATCTTAAGGGGAGACTGAGATGGGGGATTAATGAAGGAAAGACTGGGAGCCAGCTGAGTGGTGGTGCGGCACTGAGATTGGAGGGAACTGGGGATTAGACTCGTTAGATGAAGAGCTGAAAGGAAAAACTGGGACTGACTGGGCAAGGATACTGGACTGGGAGTGGGGGAGGCAGGGGGTGCATATTGGGACTCAGACAACGAGCCAATTAGGGGAAACTAGGACTGGCTGGACATTGGGACTAGCATGAAAAGCTCAAACAATGGAGACTGAGAAAGGGTCAGCATGGAAAATGGGGCTGAGATAGAGCCAGAGGTGGGAAAGAAATAGATTTGGGATGGGCTGGATGGACAGAAAAATCTGTTCCTGCTAAAGCACATTCCCAATTCCAGAGCCTGAAATGGAATAAGGGATTCCTTAGAAGGCAGGATAGAGATGCACCTTATAGACTAACTCAGTTTGGCTGCAACCCTAAATCTGGGCTGCGACCCCCGCCACTGACTCACTCATGCCCAGTGGCACCAGCAGAGCCCGGGCCGGGATCGCAGGGGGCAGCAGCGGCGAGAGCCGCACAGACCGTGCGCCAGAACAGCCCCCCAGGCAGGAGGGGTGAGGCAAGGGGAGGACCCCCTGCAACCCTGATTTGGGTCATGACCCGAGGTTGGGAACCACTGGACTACCTGAAACAAAGATGCATAAGCTTAAAATGCATAAAATCCCTTAGTCTCAGCATGCCTCTGCTGCCAGCAAACATCTATGAAATCTGTTGGCCAGTGTTTTATTACTTTCTAACACTGGTGCACATAGAGGACAACCACCTGCAACTATTGCATGTTACTCCTTTAATTCATATTAGCTCAACTTGCAGAGGTCTGTGTGCTGGATTTAAGAATTCAACCCTGCTGATGAATCACATAGGCGTCAATATTATGCCAGGATAGAATTTCTATACTTTCAATTTGCTTTGTTAAATATCACAGATATCATGCACAGGCTCACACATGTTTAAAATATTCTTCAGGTGGCAAAGTTAAGCACTCAAAAGTTAGGAAATGCCAGAATAAAGGTTATCTGTGCAGAAAATATTATGGTCACCTATGAAAGGCTGCATAACAATACATAGGCAATATTCATTTGGCCATGACTTAGGAGCATTAACATCGGCTTTTTGTGTGTGATACACACACACACACGTACACCCCGCAGAGACCACTGCCAGAGAAGCTTGTATATTGAAGATGCCCCTCTGGCTTCTTTACTTTTCATTCCATCCAGGAAGAGTACACACCAACTGCTGAAACTTCCTTAACCCGACGAAGGGTTTTTGAACCCGAAAGCTTGCTTAAAAAAAAAAGTTTCCCCCCCAACTACTTAAGTCGGTCTAATAAAAGATATCAGATTCACCCAAAGAACCCTCCAAAATGGAGACTTTTTAAAAACACTTCTTAGTAACAGTATAGTTTTAACACTCAAATCTTTCTTCTGTCTCTATTTGTTTAAGGCTGTGAAATCTTTGGGGGCAGGGTCTGCATTGCTATCAGTGTCTTCCACAGCACTTGCAACCCTTTCAGCATTTAACAAACACGAGATCATTTGGAATGCACAGGCCTTTCCTCACCGCACTGTAACCTTTGAGCCAGTTTCAGATTTAGGCTACTTTATCCCATACACCAACATCCTGCTTTGCCCAGGTGAGGTGACACTTACATGACTGCGATGCCCCAGTGTTCTCCTGCCTCCTGTCCTGCAGATTCAAAGAGAGGCAGCGCAACCAAAGTGATGGTTGGGGCGATTGTCAAAGGGCCAATGAACCGCATCAGAAATCCGATCAGGCCAGAAAATCCAACAAGGATTTGGAAACAAGAAGCTACCATGATGGCTCCCTGAACCTGAAAAGATGGATAGAAAAAATGAGGGGGGAGATTTAAAGGGTTTCCATTTGAGGTAGTGCATTCTAAAGAAATTAGTTTAATAACAGTTCAGGAGCCAGAGCCAATTCCCAGTGAAGCAAAAAATGTGCAGGTCCTTCCACTACCTTCTGAGAGTCACACTTGTGGAAAGGCAAGGCCACTCACTCCCCGTTTCACTTACTGGTATGCGTTTACCTGCTTTTCCAATTTGCCAGCTACTTCAAGGGTGTTTGATTGCAAGACAAAGGGCAGAAAACAAGCCAATCCATCAGTCCTTTGTAAAATATTCCGAGTACATTTAGTGTATTTTAGCATTCACAACAAGGGAAATAGTTATTAATTGCTAATTATTCTTACTGGCACTGACCAAGAGTCAGATGCTACATTGAGCTGCCCTGAGACAGCTAGTCCAGTGCCCCCCCAGTCCTGAACTTTAGAAACTCCACTGTTCTAGCCCCAGGCTTTCACACAACTTTTGCCAAAACACTTCATAAGGAACTAGAATGGATAACCACCCACCCTAATCATGCAAACTCTTATGAAAGTTGTGTTTATTACCCTAAGTGATGGTTTGTCAAGTGAGGCACTATAATTGTGTGAAAAGACAGTGCTGTTAGGACTCCCTGTGGACAGTGAATAAAGTCTTCAACTGAACATAGAAAGTTATTATTGTCTTCTAGTTGAATTGGAAAAGGGATGAAAGACCCTGAAAACCATTCCATCTCTCTGCATAAGGAGCAAATATATTCTCAGGCAGATTCTGAAAAGCTGAACAGAGAACAATAAAATATTTGACTACCAGAACCAGTAAAGAAACACCAAACAGGTTCAAATAGCCTTGAAGTCAACAGACAAGGAATCAGTAGACTAGGCAGCTTCAGCTCATGGGTAGTTATTTATGTTGAGGAGATTAAGCTAATGAGGGTGTGGATAGCCAGGATTTTGTTTTATCTGAGTATCACTTCCCCACAAGAGGTACACTATTTCCATGTAGTCTGCATTCTTGGTAAATGCTATTTAAGTACATAATAATTTCACCCTCCTACCTATGATTGCTTGCACCAGATAATCTCAACTAAATAGACAATGTAAAGATTAATTGCCTATGTACCGCTAGGTACTTCTGTGGATCTAGCTAGAACATAGTCCTTTACTTGCTACTCAGCAGAGGTCTCCTCCCCACCACTTCAAGGGCCTTCGAACAGTCATTTCTCATGCTTTTGGAGCCACCCTTCTGGTGACATCAGGTGGGATTACCTCTCGCATCCGTGTCTGCCAGACCTCAGTGAACTCTGGTGAAGAAACATTTACCAAGCTAGCATTCTGTGTCCAGGCAGGGCATTTCCAATGAGGAAGGGAGAGCATGGCAAGGGTTGGTGTCAAGAATGAAAATGTCCCTCCTTGAATAATAGGCAACCTGGAAAGAAACCAGAGAACAAGTGAAGTATTATGAACTTTGGCAACTCCACCTCTGGCTTAGGAGAGAGAATAAAGTCTTTACTCTGTGGCAGCATGTGACACTGAGGGCATAGGGAAAAATAATTGTTTGGGTACTTGGATGAACTGGGTGGACTGGTAACCATCCTGCAATACCAGTAGAAATCCAGAATTCTCAGGAGAGAGGAGAAAGAAAGAGCTCTCTTTAAACTACACACTTACAATGAAGTCTTATTTCAGAGGAATCTTCTGAACCCAGTAATTCATTCTAAGACATGCATGCAGGCATGTCATAGGATGGGGCCATGAGCACCATGATCCACCTGAACCCTGGCCACTCAACAAAGGAGGCAGGCTGGTCTTCCAGAGCAAGCATCTCCCCAATGCTCTGGGTGACCTCGCTTGCCTTGGGAACGGGCCCCCCACCGCTTTGTCTCTACCTTTCCTTTACTGGTCCAGGGTGGCCTGCCTCTGCTTCTTGAGGATGGGGGCTTTGGAAAAAGAAAGGGACTTCTTTTTGGGCATGCTCCCACTGGTGCCAGGCTGAGGAGGAACAAGGGCAATGGGGGACTACCTGCTGAGAAGCAGCAGCATTTCTGTGGTGGTGAAGTGTTTCACCTCCTTGCCCGGGCTGATCTGCCTTCAGCAGTGCTGGCAGGTAGCATACTTGGAATCATCTGCCACCTCAAAATGATCTCACACTACACTACCCCCTGCTTCTGGGTTGAGGGTGGGGATCCTGCCCTATCCCCCTCCTCAGCAGGCAGAGGCACAACAATAGGAGGAGCTAGCCACCTGCTCCCACAACCTCCTCCAAAGTGCCTTCCAGAGAAGACCTGCCTCTAGAGCAGCTGGACACAGAGGCCCCTTAGCTGTGGGGCCCCCTGCACCCACAGGTTTTGCAGTATAGGATGGGCCAGCCCTGTTCATTGGTCCTTGCTAGGAGGTGCTCCTGCTATGCAAGTTGCAACAGATTTTGGGAACATCTCAACATAGACAAGTCCTTTACTCCAGGCTGATTATAGCTGGGGCATTCACTACCCAACAGCTCAAGACCAACAGTCTGGACTCTCCCAAAAATATGTCCCTTACGTTACACATACAGTTAACTTCCTCAACCCTTGCCACTGGTTCAGCTTGATAATACTGATCAACAACATCCACACTTTCTCACTGGCTGCTACCCAAACAAAATTATTCCTCTGTAGCACACGTTAGCCAGCTACTTCCCTTTCACTGCAGTGACAGGGCTGTGACAGTGCCCTCACCTCCCCTGCTTTTATCTGAGGTAAGCTAGAAGGTGTTCATGGTGTTTCAGGTATCGAGTCTTGTGACTCTGCGTGAGGATAGGAAGGGCTGATTTGGGGGATTTTTTTGCCTGCAAACACAGGAGACCCACCTTGATGGCCCAGAAGGCCCCCTCCAGACCTACTTTCATAGGCTCCACATTTCAGAGGAGGTTGGGTGGCTTAGTTCCACCTGTCTACTTTTAAAATCTTAACCTCTACAATTTTTCCAAGGCCTCACGGCAAGTTGTGCTAGACCTGGGGTTGTCTCAAGAGAGCTCACACCAGACCCTTTTAAGATTCCAGTCTTAAGGGCACATTTGTGAAGGGAATCAACAATACCCTGTTTTTAGCCAGCAGCTTTCATACCATATTCTGACAGAAAGCAGTGGGGGTTAATAATTAAGGAATTCATTTTGTGATATCTAGAGCTTCCTGGAACCAATGGTATGAGCCATATCCAGTAGCACAGGAAAGACAGATGCTGCGTAAATGTACAGTACTTTCTCTCCCTCTTATAAACTAGGTATTTCTACTATCATGCTTATTAAAACCATGTCAAATTTGTTCACTTTTTTCCTTTTTAAAAGTATTACAAAAAATTTGCCAGCAAGTTCTAACTTGAAGTAAACCATCCATGCAATCACCTACTCATTGTTACTGTACTGAACGCACTTCAGAGAACTTTTCTGAAGGGGGTTCTACTTTATTTCTGAATTAATGATACATTCATAGCTCTCTGTTGCATTTGTTCACGTCATGATGCCCTACAGCTAATTCATAGCTAGTTTTGATGTAGAAGGCCTAAGAACAAACTGTAATGCAGAGGCTGCTCTTGATAGACTCAGTATTGTTTGAAAGACAGAAGTTCAAAGGTTAAGAAAAATACTGTCATATTATGCTTATCATCAATTGTATAGCATCCAAGCATAGACTAGGTGTTTCACAACTGGGGCAGAGTCTTTGTCTCAAAAAGCTACTTTGTTTTTTCCTTTGTTATTGTGATTAATTTTATTTGGGACCAACAAACTGGAAGAAACTTCCTGAATCATCAACTCCATTCCCCTGGAATCACAGGTAAATCACTTACCATGTCCTTTAGCTGTCCTGGTCATGTTTTTCCTTCTTTTTTTAAGAATACAGGTACTGTGTTTACTATTTGCCAGTCATATATTACCAATCCCAACTAGATCGATCTACACCACAGAATTCAAATACTTGCTTCTGGACATGCGATTCCACATGCTAGTTATTTCAGAGTTTTGAATCTGCTAGATTTGAGTATGTTAAACTCTGAGGTTTGTTCCCTCTCAGGTGTAGTAATTTCCAGTTCTGTGCTCTCTCTCATTAGACATCCTGCCTGCCTCCATGTTCAATATCATCATTACTGTAAACTGAGGCACAGCATTCATTTAGTATGTGGGTCGTGCCTAGATTATCTACAATCTATAGCCTATTATCACTACACAGGAAACCCACTTCTGTTCTTATCTTTTTTAAATTGATATAGCTTAAAAAAAATCCTTTAGCTATTGGTTTTAACATACTTCGCAAAAAGTTCTGCTTGGCTTTTGGCAATCCTCTTCAACCAAAAAAATACCAACTAGGACTCTTCACAGCAACTAAGCAACTACTAGCTCAAGGGTGACAAAGACAGGCCTCTCAGAAGCCAGACAGACCTATTTTGGGTGCATAAGGGCTAGTTTTCACTGGTATTTTTTTCTTGGAGGAGCCCTCAAGTTGGTAACTCTCTGGAACATCTGCTCCTAGATGTGCTGCTGCTGCTAAAGCAGCCTCAACTTGCAGCTGCTTCATACACATCACTTATCCCCAGTGCTCTTCCATCATATATTTTAATCTCTCTTCCATTTTCCTTTGCAAAAAGATAAAGGAGAGATAGCAAAGCAATTCTGTTTCTAAAACCTCCTATGAGTAGATGCCTTTCCTCAGCTGTTCTCCATGGTAATCCACACACTGTGAAGTCTCTATACTTACTCTTTTCCTGGGTTTCATAAACTGTAGGAGAATAATTTCACCTCAATCCAGATCTTCAAAATTGGTTACTTCTGGGGCTCCCTCTCTACACTGCTCAGGTTGCAGCTTAAACTCTCTTTCTAGTGAGAGGATCCCACCTCCCTTAGATGAACCTGACTCACTGACTCAGCAAAACCCACGTAATTGTTCACCAGGCTCACCTCCTCAACACTTGCTAAGGGCAGAGGGGAGCTTCAGGCCAACACTGATAGTATGATATATCCATCTAGACCAATGCCCTGTTTCTGACAGTAGCCAGTGTTTGATGCTTCAGATGGGGCTAAAGAAACCTGTAGTAGACAGTAATGGGGTAACCTGCCCACAAGGGAGGCATATCCCTAACCCCACTCATTTAGATGCCAGTTTGTGTTGATCCTTGAAATGATTTCATAGGTTTCATAGATATTAGGGCTGGAAGGGACCTCATAAGATTATCAGGTCCAGCCCCCTGCCCAGGGGGCAGGAAGTCAGCTAGGGTCAAAGGATCCTGGCAAGATAAGCATCCAAATGTTTCTTGAAAGTGTCCAGGATAGGTGCTTGCAGCACCTCTAGGGGGAGTCTATTCCAGGCCTTGGGGGCTCGGACAGTAAAGAAGTTTTTCCTTATGCCAAGCCTAAAATGGTCTTGCAGGAGTTTGGTTCCGCTGTACCTTATCATCCCCTGGGGTGCTCTGGTGAACAGGTATTCCCCCAGATCCTGATGCACACTCCTTATGTATTCATAGGCTTCATTTTTCTACATCTGTACCTGCAATATAATGTGTTTTCTCTAAGGCACCAGTAATTAAATGCTTTTAAAAATGACTGGTTAAGAAGGCCTATTGCTGATAACCCTTGTCAATCAAAGAATATGCATGACTCATACCAATGAACTCTCCCTGTTGTTTCTGGCATATTTACTCTTCAGACAAAACTCTTGCCAGGGTGCCCATTCATCCTTACAAGTAAGCTTTCAAATACATGCTTCCAGATGAAGTTCAATGTGAGACAGGTCTGTGGTCTAAGAAGCTTGTGATTAGCTAGTTATTCACTTAATCAAAGGACCCACTGGGCTGATGAAAATCAGCTAAAGGATAACGTCTTAAATATTCTTGCTTAATGCCAAACAAAGGGGACCTGTTTCCCTTCTGTAGAATTCATTGTTCATATAAAACATAGTACTTGGATAATGTTGCTTCTTTTCCTTCTCACGTAATCCCAGATAAACTGGAAGTACAAAATTTAAGTACAAGAATATGCCCTCACAGCTGAGGTACATTGTGGGGGTTTTTTTCACTTGGATGGTGTCCCAAACTGCATTCAGTGCCACCTTGGTAACAAGTTGAGACAGTGCTGGCAACATGTTTAGCAAGCCTTCACTAGCACTTAAACAAGTGCAGCTGAATCCATTGTTGATAAAGCTGGCAGAGGGCCTATTGCTCAGCTGATAAGAACTGGCATAGTTCCACTGAAGTCAGCAGAAGTAGGATGAATCAGGCCAGCTGTTAAAATATCCCATGAAGTGCTAGGTGCAAACAACACTGAGGAACATGACGGTGCTTTCCCCTATCTTTTCCTCATACCTTGTTCATTCCAAGGGACAAAAATAAACTGAAAAGTTCATGCAGAATTATGGTATCCAATCCTACCATCCAAAACCTTGTCAATCATGATCTTAAAGTTAAACTGTTAAGGTTTTTAGACCTCTGAAGAGGGTATTTTGCCCATATTATGAAGTCTCTCTGCTCTATCCCCCTGCCCCCCCCCTCCCCTTTCCTTTCTTTGTTTTTTCGAAAGTCTAATCTTGTAGTAAGTTCATCCCATAGCAAAGGATTAATTCTTCTACGGTGGCTACTATAAGGAACACAGAGGCCTTGGCACAAGTGCCTCCATCTTGTATACTTCCTCAGTTGTATCAAGATAAGGATTTACCTTATTGCTGTAAATGTGTAACTTGGGCCTTCTCTACACGTTACAGATATTACTCAATGACCTAGAGACCAACTACATATACAAAGTAGGCCTGTGCGAGTAGGCAGCTATTCGATCCGACTTCAGATCCAGCCGCTTCAGATGCCAGTGATCTGATCCAGAGCTCTAGACTGGGAAAGCCTAATGAAGCCAGAGCTTCGATCCAGACATGCTGCTTCAGACACCAAAGCGTCCGAAGATTCTCCGGATCCGAAGCATGGTCTGAAGCCTCGTACAGCCCTAATACAAAGTACTTACTACACAACAAAAAGCTCCACCCAGCTATTAAGTTAGACCTCGAAAATGTATATTACCTTTATAGCTGGTTGCTATTGAGGTTTAGTTTGCACATATAGCAGGGTCTCCCCTGTGGCTAGGAGCTCTGTCAGCTGTGGGTGCCCCTTGCCCAGCCAGGTCTGAGAGTTTTGCAACTGCTGGCAACCCTCAGCTCCAGCAATTGTAGACTCTGAATCTAGCACCCCACAGCTGCCAAGTCCCAACGTCCCACAGCTGTGGACATTGGGTCCCTGCGGTGTGCCTCTAGGTGCCGGGAGCCAGCTGGGTCCTGGCAGCCATAGGTTGTAACTACAATCTCCCAGACCCAGGGCTACATGAAACCCCTGTGGCAGGAAGATCACCACTGCACTGATCTCCCTGCTCTGGGAGTGTGTGGGGTGCCCCCCACAACTGGGAGCTGAGGTGGCTTCCAGCCATGAGAGCTTGCTTCTTGCCAATTCAGGGGGATCCTGGGATTGGGCTCCCCCTGCACCAGCTATAAGGCATGATGGGATCTAATGTGTGATTGCAATGCACATGTGGCATGGCAGGAGATGCAACTGTATGAATTGTGCATTAGATCTCATCACGCCTTTACCTGCACATGTAGAGGGGCCTTAAATAACAAAAACTCTAGGTAAGCTTGTATAAAGACAGGCTTGCAAAACTAGTTTGAGTATAGTAACACAAACAAAGTAACTGAGACACATTATGGAAAGAAATGACACTAATTGTCAAGAGTCAAAACATAACTGATAACCTCTAAAAGACCATCCATGTTAAACAGTTGTTAAACAATTAATGCATCTGATCATAAATTCTTCACTCAGCTAGAGCAGGGTGGGTCTTCATGATCAATCCCTTTCATTAACATATACTTAAGCTGACCCAGAAATCCAGGACATCATCCTGGAAACCTGGGACACTGCCCTATCCCCCACACTCTCACAAGTCAACGGGGGCAGCAGGGCTGCATGCCGAGCAGCGTATCCACTTGCAAGGCACTCTGCACCAGTCCAGCTCCCAGCCAGACTGTGGCCCACATCCCTGCATTTCTGGGACACCCATTATAATTCCCAACAAGCGGCCAGGACCAGCCTCTGAAATCCAGGACTGTCCCAGCTCACCTGGGATATAGTGTCACCTTACATATACCTAATCAAACTGTAGATAGATGCATGTCACTAATGACCTTATAGCTGTAATTCTAAACCTGGGGAAGACTGGAGAGGAATAATAGACCTAAGTTGTTGAGGGAAATTGAACAACTAACAAGAGCTCAGAGACCCTGGGATCTACCCCCATCCTCTCAGGTGTGAGTATGTTTTTGCATTGCCATCACCTGATCTGAATGTTACTTAAAATTATGTTTAGCTTCCCAATAAAGTGATTCCCTTTATTCCTAGGTTAGAACTGAACTGAGGTAAATTCTATGTAGTATTGTAGCATCTCACACCACATTGCTAAGAAAGGAGGGTGCCAAAGTTTATCTTTCCATTGTCCATGCAGAGAACCATTTTAGGCACCATTGTTCCATTGGCCTGTGGTAAAAGGAAGTCCAGGTCTGGGTCCTCCCAGAGGTCTAGTTATCAGGGGTCAAATGAGCTTCCTTAGATTAAATTATCATCTAATATACCAAGAAAGTTGGGATTCTCTCTCTCTCATGCCAAAGTAATCCATGTACAACACATCGGCAAGCCAGTCCTTCCTGTAAATGTTAGACAAAAACTGTTCTGCAGCATACCTGCAGTAGTCAGAGGACTGTGGGAAGATTTCTGGTGTATAAGCAACAGCAGATAAGAAAGCCATAAAGCATTTCATGACATTAACAGTCAATCAATGATTTGATAATGCAATTAGATATAGCAGAAAATGAATACCTGAGCTGCTAGGGACTTGAAAGCAAATGAATATATGATTTTGCCCTTGAAGACCTTATGATCATTGTTTTGTGGAAAAACTAGATTATGGAGACAAGGGAAAACCCATCTCAAGAGGAAAGCTTCTGGAAAAGGAAAAAGCTCAAAAAGTCAAGAAAAAGTAGAGAGTTCTTGTATAGATCACCCCCCCCCCCCTTCCTTAAACCTGAAAAAAGAAAAACAGGCAGGTTTCTCATGAGTGCTTTATTTTCTGTCTGGAGAAAGGTAATTGTCCACTATGCACATGCAAATCTTTCCTGTTTCTCTCACTATCAGCCCTTAAAATGCAATGGATCTCAGCAACACAGATCACCTATTCAAATTGTGCCAGGAAGCCCTGCAGAGTAAGTGAGAAGGAACCTCTGACAGTTCATACCAGAGCTCTCAGATAGTGCATTAATTGGTCTTATCATCTTCCCTACTTTTAAGGTTTTCCCAGGCTCAGTACTACTGCTTGGGCCTTGCTCAAATTGCCAGACCCAGATCAAAATGATCCTGTCTTGATATACATCAGAATTCAAGGGTAAGGATGAAACGGATATTGTTTACTGCAAGCTTAACACTTAATCAGCTTCTAGCCATATTGCATAATAGACTTCATATGAGCCAAACATCCTAAAGGAAAGAAGCCTCAGTTAGCTGTAGAGATAAAGGTCAGGTCAATTAATGCAAAGATATCTTCTACTCCCTAACAGCCTCATCCCAAGCCCACTGGCATCCACTGGAGATTTTCCATTGACTTTCATGTGCTCTGGAATATGCCTTACCAGCCAGGACTAACAAACAAATCTTATCCACCAAAATATACCACAGCTGATGTTAGAGAGTAGCTAGCAATTACCTCCCCCAAGCCACTCTTTAACCACCTTTGCATGTGTCCTGCTTCTTGGATTTTGCTTACCTGACTCCAAAGAAGACTTGAAGGAGTGTGCAAATCCCTGAGACAAAGAAGATGGTGCTGATTAGGTGGCTCTGGGTCAGAAGGTCATGCTGCAGGCAAAGCTCCTTGGACAGGATCAGAGGAATGGCTACAAGGCCACCAAGAGCTGTCAGGAAGTGCTAAAAACCACAGAGAAAAGAGTGGCATGAAACAGGGCTTGGGACCAGGCCAGCATCATTACTGTGCTGTTGAGGCAAGTCTAAAAGCAACTCATAGATCACAACTCAAGTGATGCTGGGAACATTAATTTCTTTTTACTTCAGTTTTCCTCTGAGAGTTCATTTTCTTGTGGGCATTATTTCAAAGCACCAGTCAAAGTTGTAATAATCCAGCCCAACCTCAAGCTTTTACATGCCCCACAAACCATAACTTTGTAGAAATGACAGTGCCCAGCTCCAAATGGCCAACAGCTGGGAACTAACTTCAGGGGCAAGGGAAAGCTCTATCAGGGAGGAAGGAACAACAGCTGAGTATGGGTAAAATTGTCAGTGTCAATCCATTCCACTTTGTACTATGAAATCCTTCCCCCTGCACTTCCCCACTGCTGTGTACAGCCAGAAACCAGTTCAGGGGGGCAGGGGGAAATTAGCAAACCAGCTGTAAAAGGCTATTAAATAACGTCTGTCTTCTCATTCACAGTAATGGTGGTTTGACACCCAGTTTGCATAGATGCCCATAACTAAATGAGAGACAAAGTTGTTTTTTAAAAAAAAAAAGTGTGTTTTTAAGAAAACCTAAATCACATATTCGGGCAACAACTTTCAATTAGCTATTAACACAAAAAGAATCCTTACTATTCCACTTTTGTTTTAACTCTTAAGTTTTGTTGTGTCATTTATTCACCTTGGATAATGAAAACAGATTAGTCAAAATCATTTGTGTTCCTAGTCAATGTCACTCCCTAATTTTCACATGCTAGTACAATGTTTTAACTTTGGGGCTACTAACAGAGAAGAAAATGCTTAAATCCTAAACAATTGCTTTCACTAGGTAGGGATTTTTTTAATTAATAAAGGATGGAAACTGTTAGGGTGACTATATTTGGATTTTTGGGGAGCACTGGATTTGCAGCTGAATAAAGGCATGACCTGTGGCCTAGCAGAGCTGCTGACCACAAGGCAGAATGATATATTAAAAGTAATATTGCAAGACACTTAGACAAACAGATTTTGCTTATGAATGCTTATGCTAAGCCAGCCATTTGCTTATGTCAAGTAACCATCTTAACTATGTCAACCATTTTCAAGTGAGTCTGTGTGAGTCAGCATGCTTGTGAATGAGGTGAAGCTTTAGGGATGTGGAAGATGGTACAACCTAGAACTGAAAAACAGACTGGAATGTGAAAAACAACATATAATTGGTACAGAATCCAAAATGAACATATGCAAAAAGGTGAATGGCGATTGGTGAAGAAGCCTCCAGAAGCTTCCAGGTTTTGGTCAAAGTCCGCCCATTGACTGAAGAAATAAGTTTGTGGCCTTGCTCATGGCAAAAAAAGCATGTAAATGAATGAAATGCGTAGGCAATTCCATGTTAATGAAGTAAACAGAGGTGGAGCTTAAGATAGGAGGAGAATGTGTGGAACAGAAGGAGGAATAGAGGTGGAATAAATGTTAATAAACATGAACCAAAGTGTATAAATGTGGAAAGAACTATTGTTCGTTGCAGCTTCCCAGTTTGTTGTTTTTTTGGGAGCTAGTCCGAAGCTGTCTCCATTCTGAGTAAAGTTGTTGTGAGCAATGTGTGCTGGTGTTTGCTCCCTGCTTGCTCTGGCTAATGAATAACAGGATCCATGTGCAATTGAATTAGCGTCTCCCTAGTCGTTGGGCACCACGTGGAGTCAGGATCTAACAGAAACATTGCCAAGAATCATGGGTTTCATATGAACTTGGCTTTGCAGAGCTCAAATTTGAGCCTACTCTACCTGACAAGATAGCGTTAATGAAATAAACAAAGTACAAAATGTCCATCACATGATCAAATCCATCCATAACTATCTTTCCATACAGACATCATACCTTATAGTTTGCATGTATCAGCACAACTGGATTTATTTAACATATACTGGGCGCATCCAGAGAAGCGCGGGTGTGTGGTGTGCAGTGCTGCAGACTCATGTGTGGCACTGCACATCACATGCACTGCACATGCAAGCATTCCCTATGCTCCTAATTTGCGTCTTGACACCTGTGTCTTAAAAAAGTGTGGCAGTGCGCTGCCGGAAACCGGAGTCTGGCCAGGTGGAGCCATGCTCTGGCTGCCAGCCAGACTCTGTGCTGCCGGATTGCTGCGGCTGCAGCCCCAGAGGCCCTCAGGACCCCAGATAAGGCTGCTAGAGCCAGCTCAGGTGCTGGCCCCAGCTACCCTTACCCCACCCAGGGCAATGACCCATGCACCAGATTGCATGTGCACAGGCGTTTCCCAGGGACAAGCAGCAGCAGCACATATTGTCCCTGGGAAAATGCACTTTCCCAACTGTGGGAACATGCCCACAGTCATGTCAACTGAAAAAGCTGCATAGTTTTCTCCTTGTGCCATCTCTGCTTAGCCTTCTTTGTATTTGGGCTGCAGAAATCAAGCAGCCTTTAGACACTTCCCATAACTATTATGCAGGTACCATCTCACTGGTTGTCTCTTACTATTGTATGGCTCTGGGACAGTATCTTCCTGCTTGTACTGCATAATCACAATGTAATTTATATATATCGAAAGGAAACAATCAGAAACCAGGAAACTTATTGGAGATGAGACATGGGACTTGATATCACTAGTTTCCAACTAGAGGTTAGAAGATGTCTAGTAAACATAAGCAATTTCCAATTCACATTTCACCCAATTCACATTTCACGCACTTCACTCTGCCACAATCTTCCACGTCTCACCTGAATGCCTAGAAGGATGCAGAGGTACCATGGTGGAACATCTGTGACACAATATGCTAGTTTGCTTCGGTCCTTTGCCTTGCCTTTCTTCTGTTCCTCTTTAATACTTTTCTCATTGGTGCCAAGTTCAGGCAAGGTACAGTACTGGCTTCCCTCTTCAACCTGTAGGAAGCAGAAGAGAGTATTCCTTAGTTAGGGCCTTGTTCAGAGAGTTGTTCCACAGCATGCTGACTGCAATGAGTGTTGTAGGTGTTCTGCATCTTGTAGGACCAGCAGGTCTTTAGATGCCAACATGGCTGGAGAAGAAAAAGCAAGGGATACAAGGAGAGACTACAGAGGATTAGACAAATTCTTAGGGGCAAGGGGCATCAAGCTATTGAGCACAGGAGTTAGGAAGACAGCCTCTGAACCAGAACTTTGTATACCTTAAATGATGGAAGCTACAAGTGAGAGAGGAACAGTGGGGGAAAAACAAAACATGGTTATACCCAGTTCACTCTGCCTTTCAGCATTCACTCTCTGCTAATATGTAATATAGGACACTTAGCAAGATAAACCTATGGTCTAACCCAGTAAATGGCAATTCTTAGGTTCTTATGAGATTAAATAAATTTCTTTAAAAATCTGTGACAATGGTCCATGTGCATGTGTGGAAGGACCCATAGAAACAGTCAGTGCTTTAGGGGCTAAGGTCATCCAGGCTGGCTCCCCGTTCTTCCTTTAACACGTCCCTTTTTAACTACACTTTGCATTTGACCCATCTTTATAGCTGAGAAAAGCTGCTCGTGGTTCTGACCAAGGCAACCTACCACACACAGCGGGAGTAGGCTCTAGTGGTGATTCAAGAACCTTTAAGGCACTTTTCTCCCTATTTCCCAAACCTGCTCCATGACCAAGGTGGCTACAGGCAAGGCACTCTCTCTTT